TGTTATGAAAAAAAAATATAAAAAAATTGAAGCCGGTCATTCTCAGCGCTTGTCTACATGTAGAAGAGAAAACTAAATTATATGGAATCGACGTAAATTTTGTTACTTGTCAGTGTCATCCCCATACATTTAGTTTTCTACTCTCTCTGTAGACAAGCGCTAAAGTGGCGTTTGGCTTTAGCCAAGGCCTTCAGGCCCTGGTTTATCAGAGAGTGCAGCTGCTAGGTCTCTGTTAAATGTTGAAACTCCCTAAGTCACCTCTTGTGACACCACGAGGCTATGCTTTTTTTTGAGGGAGGAAAATTATTCAATAAAGTCTCCCGCTTTGAGTTCGGCGAGAGGGAGTGTCAGACTCTTACTGACTAAAAACCACCCCGTTCCTACTCATGCGCTTCGAGCCGGAGCCCTGGTTACCCGTTAGGCCTTCCGCTGCCCCGGTTAGGCCTTCTGCTGCTCCAAAGAAGCTGTGCTTAAAGGGAATCAACATGTTTGAATTTCTTCCCAAAAAATTTAAAAACTTTGAAATGTTGATGAATATTAATTAAAGAAAAATTATGGGGATATGATTGTGTTCTATTGGTGGATTAATGATTTAGACTCGAATTGGTTTTACTTGACTTTATTTTAATTACATTACGTAGGTACAGAGCATACGACGTGTATGCACACCATACTATGACAGACAGCGCGCTCCGTGAATCTGTTGATCTTATAATAGTACAATATAGTGAAGAGGCCACTACTTACTAACTATAAGTGACAACATGTAACAATATTTTCTTTCATCAACTTTAAATTATAATTTTCTTCACAGAACCTTAGGCATGGAGTTGGCAGTGAGAACAGCTAACGGTCAGTTGGTTGATCCTCTGAAGATCTCCACTTACAAACTGAATGCTCTACACGATGATGCCAACGCTCGTATTGAGAAGAATATGGTAAGTTTGTTTATTTGTTTTAGTTGTAAAATAGATCTTGTTTTTATGAGAGTAAGGTTGAATATTGAATATAATTTGATGAGGTAGTTTTTTAGTTTATGTTTTGAGTCTAAATAGTTTTAATGTTAGATGGCGCAACTATAATACTAAAGGACTTAATTGCAATCAGTCTTATTAATTAGATATATTGTATTTTTTTATGGCATAAGCCGGTAAACGAGCAGACGGATCACCTGATGGTAAGCAATCTGCGTCGCCCATGGACACCTGGAATACCAGAGGCGTTACAAGTGCGTTACCGGCCTTTTGGGGATTAGGAGTTTGAGGATCGTTGGGGATTCAGAGATTGGGGAGATTGGGGAAGGGTAAGTTATTGGGCCCCCGGTAACCTCACTCACACGACGAAACACAACGCAAGCGTTGCTTCACGTCGGTTTTCTGTGAGGTCGTGGTATCACTCCGGTCGAGCCGGCCCATTCGTGCCGAAGCATGGCTCTCCCACACTAATTCGAATTATATTATATTATAAATAATTATATTACAATTCGAAATGTCCATTGCATATTTGTGATTACCATCATCGACATAGTCAACAGTACTTTTTTGTTCAATATCATCTCATAATGTAACCAAGAACATCTCTGTCTTCCAGGAAACAACCCCAGTAACACCTCCACCAGCAACCCCACCCGGGGCTCGAACCTACACCATAGCGGTTCGCGTCCACAACTTCGTATGTCGTATGAACGAGCCGGCAGAAATAGCTTTAGCTCTACACGACGCGTCGGGGGCTAAGTTAACTGAGCATTTGTTACTACGGTGGCCTACGAACCATATTAGTACTGCTTTAGTTGTTTTTACTGTGAGTATCGTGTTATTATTAAAGTCAAAGTCAAAGTCAAAATCATTTATTTCAATTAGACCAGGATGGCACTTTTGAACGTCAATTATTAAATACTAGCTGGCCCGGGAAACTTCGTACCGCTTAAAATGTTATTTTCTCACCTTTTAAACCTTCCCTAGACTTACACGAACGTTTCAAGACCAAAATTATCCAAATCGGTTCAGCCATTCTCGAGGCTAACGAACGGAAATTATATATACTAGCTTCTGCCAGCCGCTTTGCCCGCGTTACCGTGTTATAAAATGTAGCCTATCTATTATTAATGGAATAACAATAACCGTTGTGACGTGAAAGAGTAACAAACAAACAAGCAAACATACATACATAGTTTTGCATTTATAATATTAATAGGAAGACCTACTTCATAGCACCAATATCCAGCTCTGCTTTGTGTCAAAAAGTGTTTTCGTCACAAAGAAATGACTAACTTACAATTAACCTATTCTTTATATTCTTCCAGGATTTCGGTAGCGATATAATAAAGAGCGAGAAAATATATTTAGTATCAAATATAGTACGGATAGGAAACATGGACGCTCAGAACATAGATAATAGGTAAGTTTTTGAGTACTGATTCAAGCAATAAACCTTCTATTATTGTATTAATAACCTTCATTAATTAAGCAAACAAAATAAATGTCAATGATTGCAATCGATTTTATATAGTCAGAAGCTTAAATCGATATTAATAGTTTATTTATTTTTGCCTAATTTTTACATTTTACAATGTATATAAAATCACAACAGGTCAAAACATTCTAGACAAGCAAATGATTAAACCACTCAAAAATATTTTTCCTTCGTTAACAAAATCATAATAATCCTTTACATTCTCAGACGCAGCTCAGTAGCCCAAACACCGCCCGTAACGTCACCGTCAGGTCGGTCCATGCGACGTCCGTTCGGCGTCGCCTGCGCAGACATCAAACGATACGTCAACATCGACTGTCCCAGCCCTGACAAACATATACTAGTACCTTTTTATGCGTGAGTATTGGAACTTTTTACATATATAATGACGATATAAATTTCTTTTCTAAAAAAGTGGGTGTTAACCACTTTTCACTATTTATGTTATGAGTCCCATGTAATAGTGAGTGAGCGTTTAGGGAACTGAGAGTATAGTTCCCTAAGATCGGAAAAGGAGGATCCTCCGACCAGGCGAGGTGTTCGTGCCTGGCGGGCTTTCTGCCCAACAGTTGTTCGTTGGGTTTTTCTATCCATGTTTATTCGCTTGTAAACTTTGCATGTGCGATGTAGGATTTTATGACGTCATCCGTAGACGTGTGGCATGTGTCGCCACAAGTCTATTGCCATTTAATTTTCAGAATGTAACTAGAATTATTGTTGCAGGTATGAAAAGGAGAATTTGGACTGTTTGTTAAAGAAAATAATTGCGAACCGTGACATCAAGGATGCTAAACATTCTCAAGGCTTGTGGGTCTCTGTGATGTTAGTAGAGGGGGATTTGAAACAGGTATGGTGCTTTTTGAGTATAGATTTAATTGATCATCTGGTTAAAGTACCCTGATATTATTTTATGAGCAAAATGATATTAAATTGCTTGTCTACCGAGGAAATAAGACTGCATGGTTGGTGCGGTCGGTGGGCTGCCGCGCAACGTGTCGCATGTTCGATTCCCGCACGGAATAACTCTTTGTGTGATCCACAGAATGTTGTTCCGGGTTTGGATGTCATGTGTATGTGAACTTGAACAATACGGGAGAAAATTGTAGTGTGGGGCAACGTTTTTTTTTAATAAAAGAAAATGTAAACAATAGAAATCTCAATGTATGAGATTGACATATATCTTGATATAATAATCGGTGTCAGGCAAGCACTTAGATGGATTATAGCACTGGTTTGAAACAAAGCGCATTCCTGTCTGTATTGCATTAACAAAGTTACCTCTGAGCAAATAAGGAGTTATTACTCTGTTATGCTAATATGTATAGTTTTACAAAACCAATACTTCTACTATTTTAAAACACCAATCCTCTCTCAACTCAATTTCCTCACAACAAATTGGTATCTATCCTAAAATAGACATGATTTTCAATAATAACAAAACATCACGCCTTTAACCCCTAAGGGGTAGACAGAGGTGCACACTATGCCATTATGCAATGTAACACTCACTTTATGTTATGAGTCCCATGTAATAGGGGGGTGGGCCTATTGCCATATATCGGGCACAACTCCAGACTCCATGTTACTACTGAGATTTTTTTTAAATCTAGTAATACTTCTCCGGCACTCGCACTTGCGACCACTTGGCCAACGAGGCAGTTTCGAGTGACACGATTTTCGTACTAAATAATTACACACAACCTCACCAGTCAATCGTCATCTAAAAATACTCTTTGTACTACAGATTCGCGAAGAAAACCCGCATTTAGTAGTAGGTAACACAGCGGTAGCTCGCAAAATGGGATTTTCCGAAGTCATAATGCCAGGAGACGCTCGCAACGACCTCTACGTAACAATTTGTGGAGGTTCCTTCTCCAAGGGAGGGGGCAAGTCCTCTGAAAGGAACATTGAATTAATCGCCAAGGTTGTCGATAAACATGGGAAGACTTTTCCGGTGAGTTTTTTGACGATTTTTTATTGTGTTGCGTGGTGATAAGGGTGAAATTTGCTTAGCATGTTTTTAGAAATTTTTATCAACTGCAGTATATCCGCTCTAATTTTTTTTTATGATTTTTTTACTTAAGATGCATTAGTACATACTTAAAATATTACTGAAATACATTAGTACATACTTAAAATATTACTGAAATAATATTCATTATCACTATGGACACCACAATAGCTTCTGTTTTTATGTTTCATAGGGTGTGATATCAGTCGGCGCAGGAGTGTCGTTAGCAAATGAGTACACATCTGTGGTGTACTACCACGACGATCGACCTCGATGGCAGGAAACCTTCAAGGTAAGAAACAGTTATAATTTTAGTACATAACATAACATCACGCATTTTATCCCCGAAGGGGTAGGCAGAGGTGCACATTATGCCACTGTGCAATGTAACACCCACTTTTCACTATTTATGTTATGAGTGTTATGTAATAGGGGGTGAGCCTATTGCCATATACCCGACACTATCTAGACTCCGTGCTACTACTGAGATTTTTTTTAAAAACCCAGTAATTCTTTGCCCGACCCGAGAATCGAACCCGAGACCCTTTACCTGGCAGTCGCACTTGCGACCACTATGTCAACGAGGCAGGCGGTAATTTTATTATTATAATTAAAAAAGACAGCTATCTGTATCTCCTTCCATGACACTATCAATCAAAAATCATCTGTCCGATTTAGCATTTTTTTTTCAATGTTTATTATAGTTGAGTCTCGAAGGAGTACCTATTGTATAATGCTATAATAATTATTTCATTAACAAAAAATTTGTTTAAAAAAAAAACACTTCAACCCCTCTTTTTTTTTAAGTCGGTTAATTGAACTACTAAAATTTTCCTCTTCTGTTATGTTACAACCTTCTCCTGAGTGTATTAAGCACTTTTCTGAAAACTGCATCGAAATCGGTTCAGTTAATCGCGCGATAATCGCGCACTAACGTACATACATACTATTCAGTATCTATGTAATGACGTCATTAACGAAACCCTACGTAATTAGAGGAGACTTTCACAATCCGTAGTAGGTACAGAGTGGATACTTACTAGAAAAACGATTGTTTTTTTTTATGGCATAAGCCGGTAAACGAGCAGACGGATCACCTAATGGTAAGCAATCGGCGTCGCCCATGGACACCTGGAACACCAGACGCGTTACCGGCCTTTTGGGGATTAGGAGTTTGAGGATCGTTGGGGATTCAGGGATTGGGGAGGGTAATTCGGCCTCCGGCAAGCGTTGCTTCACGTCGGTCTTCTGTGAGGCCGTGGTATAACTCCGGTCGAGTCGCCCATTCGTGCCGAAGCATGGCTCTCCCACACTGTATTAGCATAGTTAGCGTAACCTAATTATTCTAACACTCTTTCAATATTAATTTTCTTCTCAGGTATGCCTAAATATAGAAGAGTTTAAAGAAGCTCATCTAGTATTCCTCTGCCGTCACCGTTCCTCAAACGAAGCTAAAGACAGAGCGGAGAGACACTTCGCTCTCTCATATTTACGACTTATGCAGCGAGAGGGCACCACTACACCCGATACTCAACACAATCTGTGTGTTTATAAGGTTGGTTTTTGATTAATTTGAGTCTTAACTATTGTATGTTAAGATAGAATAAATGCCACCACACAATTAGCCGTTTCCTATCCGGTTCTTGTCATTCGTCATAGTTATATTATATTTAAGTCTATTGAGGTAAGTCTGATGCACATATTATCTTCTTCTGTCAGAGTTCATCTGTTTTCATATCATTTGATTATTAACATGATGTTTTTGAGTTTGTTTTCTCATTCAAATTAGGACCTAAGACGGCTCCATACAGTTACGTTATCTCAGATTGCTAGCCATGTCATTCACTCTCTTTCTCATATCCGTAAAATCTTTATCGTACAAATTTCTAGGCTTCGGAACTTATTTTTTATAAGTTCGCATTTAACAAAACCCCTTTAGTTCCTCTTTTATATAACCTTTAAAACTTTATGTTGCTCGTAACAAATATGATTTCTAATATTTAAAGCTAATCTCTAGTCATCAAAATTACATTATAAATGAAATGAATACACAGATCGACAAGCGTGCCAATCAATCAGAAGCCGAAGAGACCTGCCTGGGCCTCCCGTCCCGTAGAGACGAGTTACCGGCGGGCGCCGAGCATGGACTGGCGCGCGGCGTGCTACAACTTGTACCCAGGGACAGTCTCGCTGTACACACCAAGCTATGCTCTACCAAGCTAACTCAGAGAGGTCAGTCATTTATCTTAGGCTTTAAAAAAAAATATCCCATACCAGGATTATCTCCTGTGTCGTACTTAAATATGCAATTTCATATACGCATCACACCTAGACCCAAAACAACATTTTATGGATCACATAATGTGTTGCTCCCTGCAGGAATCGAAATAGCAACATGTTACATAGCAGCCAATTGCTCAGACATTGCACCATTTATGCCAATTGACTACAACGTGTCTCGACTGAGATATAACAGTGTGACTACATTCCTAAATCTATTAAATACTTATAAAAAACAATAAAAGCTTAGTCAACCAGAAGAAGAGAACACAAACAGCCAAAATGCATTTTGTCCGAAAAAACATTATCAGAAAGGAGGACAAAAATGACACAATTTCCCATTTTCTTTTGCAGAGGAAATTCTAGGCGTATTGAAATGGAACACTCACTACGCGGAAGGCACGCTACGAAATGCACTGACGCAACTGTTAGTAGTACCCAGTGAAGAACTGGTCAAGTTCCTGCAAGATATACTGGATGCACTGTTCAGCATACTTACACAGGTAAATAGATTGGTGTAAAATATTATCTTCGTTTTGTTACTGCGTATGATATATTTTGATCTATCTATCTATTGATTTTTAATCAAAGTACCATGCAATGTGAACAAATATTGACATGTCCGAAGTTTGAAAGTCTGATAATGAAACTAGGAATGGTGGATTTGTAATTTAGGGAACAGAGAATAAAGTTCCCATAGAAAGGATCCTTCGACTAGGCGCTGGGCGATGTGATTTGTTCGTCGATCGTCTATGTGCGACTTCTATTATCTTTAATTTGTTTGTAATTAGTTAAAAATGTTTTATGAAAATATTAAATTTTTTTCGCTTTTCAAAATTAGATAAGATTGCCTTCCGCGACCGCAGACTGTCCAATCTGAAGCATTAAACATTTTTTTACTAACCTTAAACATTTCTGAATTTCCCCCAGGTACAAGAAGACCATGAAGACGACGTGTACACAGACAACAGTTATGGTGTCCTAGTACTCGAATGTTTGCTCCGAGTGATATCTATAGTAGCTGACCACAAGTACCAACACTTTCAACCCGTGTTACATGTGTATATTGACGATAGCTTCTGCAATGCATTAGCTTATGAGTGAGTAATCTCTTCTTATTTTATGGTTGCCTAGTACTGACCACTCACAAAGCTATACCAAAATTCGTTATAATGTTATTGTCCTTATTGCAATGTGTATAGAAAATTTTATCTTTTGTAGAGACTTGAAAGATTCGAGTAATTTAATGTGATTGGTGGCTAAGTTGCTACCGTTGAAAATTCAATGCTTTTGTGACCCTTTAAAAGCGTTTGCCTGTATTGTAATCACCAGTATTTTAACTTCGTGTGGTTATTTGTTTCCTTTTTCCTATGCGAGGACAGTCTATTCAATATACTGTACATTTAAAATGCAAATAGTTAACAAAGGCAACTTTTTCATTGTATTTACAGACTAGAAAAATGGGTGTACCTCAGGGTTCTATCTTGGGCCCCTTATTTATTGTATTCCCTATGGCAAAAAAAAACTGAATTTAAAATACACCGAAGACCAAGACAACTTATGTTGTAATTAATTTACAGGAAACTAATATCAGTAATGGTATGGGTGATATCGGCCGCTAACGCAGGCGATGCGGCGTTGAAGAGGCTCTTGATGTGTATGAAGTGTATAGAGAGTCTAATACGACTCATTGTGAGGAGTCGACAGTTGAGGAGTGCGCTCGGAGACCGAGCTTCTGATAGTGAATTCTGCTTGTTGTTTGAAGTAAGTCTTATTTTTATCAGGTAATTTTATAAGTACAAATTAGTACAAGATTATTAATTTGGCTTTCATAGTATTTGATCGCCACAGAAATGTTCTTAGCTTACCATGATATGTTATTAAACAGCGTTTATTGTTCCTCTGGTTTATTACTGTCCTCCAATTTGCAACATTGCCTTTTTAAATATAAACTGAATTTATGATAATTGTATCTTAAGTAATAAAATTACATAAAACATTGAAAAAAACTTCAATGCGAAGCTTCGCCACGAAGGCTTTGTCGCTTACCTTTTAATGGCTTATAAAAATTTAAGTAAAATTGTAACAGCGAAATTATTCATAACAATTGTTTGTTTTGAAATATTGTGTTTTGCTCAGTTTTATTCAAACTAATCAAATTGATTTTTTGTCTTCCAGGCACTCCTAAAACAATTAGTTTGGTTAATGCGTTGTGGAGACCACGCGCTCACATGTCAAGGGTCTGCGCTGAAATATCTTCCCCACGCCGTACCACACATCATTAAAGTATATCCTGATACTGAACTCAGGTTTGTTGATATCTATCTACAGTGGTCAACCGGTCAACTTTCTCGTTTCTCTCAAATTTTCTTTATTACATTTTCAATACTACCGTTTTCAGACTGCCTCGTTGGCCGAGTGGTCGCAAGTGCGACTGCCTGGCAAGGGGTCTCGGTTCGATTCCCGGGTCGAGCTAAATAATACTATTAGCAAGGAGTTTGAAATTGTGCCTGGTATATGGCAATAGGCTCACCCCCTGTTACGTTTTCGTATTCGTTTCTATTACGCATTCGTTTTATCTAAGAAGTGATTTCTTGTATGACAAAATAAAAAATGCGTGTCTAATATTTTTTCGTTATGTAACTGAAGGACTAATTAGATTATTAATTTTCATACCCCGTCATCATTTCTATTGACTCCTCTGACATCACTTTTACCTTTACAACAGTGTCTAATTTAGCCTAATATCACAAAATCGCATTCCAGCGCCTACATAGTCCGCGCCCTAGAAGCGTTACCCCTAGGCCGGCTCAGTAAGCAAAGGATGTTAGCGTTATTGGAATTAGTACGCGGTCCACTTTGCTCCCAACCATCTGCCCGAGCGCTACTATTGCCGCATCTAGCTGCTACCACTCGCGCATTGCTCCGTGACAAGGCTGAGGTGAGATTGCAAACGTTATTTTTCAAAATTGATCTTTATGTACTGCGTGGTAGAGTTAGTTTTGTATTGGCGGGTTTTCCTTGAATAAGTTCGTTTTTAGATATTTGGGTTACCATTTTTAAATACTTATTGTATCCGAACAAAATGGAATTCGATTATTATTCGATTATTATTCGATTATATAACTATTGCTTAATTGTCGAAATTGGTCATTCTGAAAATATACAACGTTATTATATTTTATAGACTAATAAGACGCTGTAAGTTGTTGCTATTACGTTGGTATTAATAAGCAAACTTAACTTGATCGTTATAAAGTTCAAAGTTGCTCGAGTCGGTTTCTCATATTCTTAGTCTAATTTTTTAAGATTGAAATCTATTACGCAGTACATAAATATCATTAATAAACACTACACAAATTAAAACTCTCAGACACAGTAATAAAATGTGTGATTTAAAACAAAGCATTAAAAATACACACGATTATCAACCATATGCATACAGTTTTGTATGCATTTTAAAACAATTTACAATATTTTAATTCAAAATTTGTTAATTGTGCGATTATATCAAGATTTCTTTGTACACAATTTAATGAGACTCATCACACCATACATTACACGCAGAATTTATCGAAAGACGATGTTGCTATACGTAAAAAAAGAAAAAAAATCTTGTACGTTCTTATGTTAGTAAATTGTAACGTCGTCTTTCGAAATTAAATATAGCTATATTTAATTACTATAGCTTAGTAATTATTAGGTAAGTATTTTTATTATTTGCACTGGCACCACTTTTGATTTGTAGTTAGGACTCAAAAATACACCGAAATGTAAAAAAGTTGAAATGCAAAGGTTCCTTGTAATTGAAAAAAACTATATTTTGTTCAGTGATGTACCTTACTTGTTCAAATTCGACAGTAAGTCTCTTTGTCTTTCGGAGTCGCGGAGAGCCTAACGGGTAACCGGGGCTCCGGCTCGACGTGCAGGAAAAGGAACGGGGTGGTTTGTAGTCAGTAAGAGTCTGACACTCCCTCCCGCCTCACCCAGGCGGGAGCAGTCATTCGATGATTTTTCTCCATTAAAAAAAAGTTTCTTTCTCTTGCTATCTCGATATCACGTTTCAATTTAAAATATGACGCCCAAAATTATTCCTTCACTGTTTAAATAACTGCGAAATTTTCAACACATTGAATCCTAGCTGCAAATCAAACCATAAATAAATAACTTTAAGGTATTATTTTCGTCAATAACAATGTGTACGTCTAGTGAATAAACCTCACCGTTCGTGAATGTCAGCACCGCACACATAGGTAATGTAAGTGTATATGTGTTCGTGTATTGTGATTTATTTGTATAATCTGTTACGTGTTACGTCACTACATCGATGGATGGGGATGTGGGAGACGAATGATAAGTATCGATAGATTTTTATCGATTTTTTAGAATTACATTGAGGCAGTTGAGAAGTTTAATTTGTTTATGTATGTTTCCTTATTTTATGAAATGCTGACTTTTACTGTAACAAAATTTCGAAGTTCGATAATTTATGTTATTATGTACCTGGGAAATAGTAACAGTGCAACGTTGTGATAAACACGACTATTCCTGTCGACTGTTGACTCTGTACCTTAATTTAAATAAACCTTAATGATCAGATCCTTTTGTTTAATTATTGTTTAATTATTCTCTTCAAAAAGTATTTTTTCCTTTTTCTATTATTTTTTAATCAAATAAATTCGTTTATGTTATAAATTAGCCGAACCAATTAATGGTGAATCATCGTATTAATACAAAAAATATTACAAGAAAGCCTTAGTACAGTCTATTCTATCATTCGTGTCCCACAAACTCGATTGGAACCAATCAGGTATGTTTGTGTCTGTATGGCGCGTCGCGGAATCACCGAGGTAAGCACGCACGCCGATGCATGCAGCCCGTTTTGCACCCTGTGTTGTATTCAATAGATGTTATTATTGCTTGAGTTTTCACTGCGATATGATTTATCAATAACATTTATTCCCCTACTAAAGGTATTTGATTGCGTTCACTAGATGGCGCTAGTGATGACAATTAGCTTGTCTGTCATAAGTTGATTGGCTAATGATTTGAATTAGCAAGCATTCTATTGGTCAATAGACTAATTAAGCTGTACTAGCGCTTCTAGCGGCGCTAAAATCCTAGTGACTTTTGTTTGGAAGTTATATTGAAACAATTAATTGTTTTTCGAAACTCAATCACAATGGAAACTCTAGTTTGTTTGTTTAGTTGTGTAGTTTTTTAGATAGTCTTTTATGTAGTTGTTCTTGGAACGTTATACAATAACGAAAGTAATTAACTGGTATTTAGTTGACTATACAATCATATTCACATCATTCAATTATAAATCCAACTTTATAGTACATCTCATTCATGTCACCAATCAAAATAATACGATAACATATACAAAGTAAGAACTAATTTTGAATATCAAATATTCAGTGACTAACTTGACATTGTAGTATTATTTAATTACATTATAACTTGCATGCGATAATACTAATTAATAATTATTATGTACCAGTATTAAAATGTTCTAACTCTGGATATAATATACAAAGTATATTATTTTAGCCTCAACTGTTTATGCTATTTTTAATCGATTCGATCGATATTGTTAATCGATTATTCTTATCGATAATAACCGTTGCATATTGATTGCTGTTAATGGAAAAAAATATAAGTAATAATAAACCTAGCAAGATCTACACGTAACTTTTTACTTTAAACAATTTGTTAAAACTAACTAAAATATATTTTTATCAGTTATTTTAATAAACACGTGAGGCTAATTACTCTTTGACATTATATATATATATATATGTGCAATACAGTACAGATGCCTGTGAATGCCGTGCATTGCACAAACGTAGAACTTGCATACATTACAATACTTCATACTTGTTCCAGATAAAAATCGACTCTATTACTGTACTATGAAGATTTATTCTGAAAACAAAGACTTGTCATGATGCTAATATTAAAAAGTACGTGTCAAGTATTCTTGTTTCTGTGGAGTTGAACATTTTTAAATAACTGCTTTATCATCTATCAAATAGAGTCGACTTTTGTCTGTATTATCTTTTGTCATTGTACTATTATAACTAAATACAGTGCCTTCGTCGCACCAGCATCGTGAGATGTGCACACAAATCGTGATTCAGTAACTTCACCTTGAAAATAATAATATTAATGTTTTTCTATAATACCTGTCATAAAGTAAACTAAGTTTAAATAATATTATTGGTTTATTTACGCAATATAAACTTTTCAAGAGTGCTCGACTAGTTTCAAGTAAATAACGGGGTTCATAATCCTATGTTTAACACGAGGCAGTTGGCGGTTCACCTCCTTTTAATTATGAGCCCCGGTTGTAGCTCGAAACGAATCGAGGATCCTCGAAACTGTCAATATCATGTGAGTGGACCATTATTATTTAAATATATTATTCATAGTTTCATTTAAATATACAATACATTATAATACAGTAAGTTCTTCTACTTCTATGAATTTTAGCAGTATTATAAATAATTATTATATTTACTAACCTCACCTCTTTATGTGTTTGTGTGTGTGTGCATGTAGTGTTACACTGTGTGTAGTTGTGTGACGCACTATTTGTTGGTTCATAGGCAAATATGGTTCTGTTAGAAAAAAAATCTTAAAATGGGGTGTATTTTTGTTTTTTAATTAAAAAAAAATAAGTCTAACACAAATGTTTTAAAACTAGAAGTAAATGAAACAATGGTTTGGTCAAATGAAATTAATATTAAATGGGCAAAATATATTAATATATAGTTCTTTAAATACATAGTTTAGAATTTGGGCTGGGAAAAAATAGATGTGTTGTGTACTCATGTACTAACTGTAATCAGAGACGATGAACAGAAATGGACACTGTGTTCGCTGTCTCACTCACACACTATCAAAGAACCATGCTTAAGCCTTAGAGATCTTCGTGTGTCTGTCTGTGTGAACACCTCTACTAATATACTGTGACTTCTCTCACAATATGTATGGAATATATTTACTCTGCACTATTTATAAAAATATTTAATTCTACATTTAATATATTTTTATCTATATCTACTATAAGTATCCACTATCCCATACATATACAACTTCATTTACACTATACGATATGTTTTCTCGAAATAACATTGCAACATTTTATTTTTGTTGTTGGTGTTAAAAAGAACAAAATAGTGAAATTAATCTTTTAATAATAAAAAGCGCCTTCGATGTCGCTTGAAGACTAAATTGTGTGCAAACTCTTGATGTGTTGCATGTTTTAGCGCTTGCGAGTTGTCCAATGACAGCTGTCAAAAGTGACAGGTGACGTTTTATCTGTCATTGTCAGTTGTTATTCGATGGCTCGCTAGTGTAGCGACTGATTATTATAAACGATAATTATTCAAGACAGTAACATGAATAAAATAGATATTATTTAAAATTTGCTAATTAAATTGTATGTTGTAATTAAGTTTATAATGATCAGTCATTTGGTGTACGCTTGTGACGAATTCCCGATGTAATTTACTTGTCACATTATGATTTCTATAATAAAAACTGTCAAACTCTAATGCCTGTTGACTTAATTATGCCAATTTCATCCGTCATTAAGTCCACTTTTGTATAATTTTATGCACACAAAACTGCAAATAAATATCGTAATGTGACAAAAGTATAGAATATTATACAAAAATAATTCGGGAATAAGTCAGCGTCCGCTAGCAATGTCGGGTGTGGCAGTGGGATCGCGAGGCTGCCCACAAGTCGCGGTCCGTGGGCAAAGCTGCGCGGCTCCTCGGCGCAGACACGGCGAAGCTGCCAGACCACACGCACCACCAACAGATCGTATGTATACGCCCTTAGATATAGAGTCTACAGACTATAAACCGAAATTGTTTGGACGCCATATTGAATTTAGATTCGGAATAATAATAAATATTGATGGATGATTTAGTTTAAAGTTTTTGTCGGGTTGATTGTATTCCGTTGCTAGAAATTCTATCATCTTGATTTTTAAGAATCTGAAAATAATTATGTATCAATTAGAAGTTGGTAGTCTGTAGAATATTTTAATTTTTTATCGGATTTTGTCTTGTTTTAAGCAATTTTAGTGATGGATGTTTTTTGACATACGAAGGCGTTGTCTTCGATTTTTCTTTCACGTATCAAGTCAGTTTGTTTAAAACGAGACAAACACAGATTAATACACATGTAACATTTCAAAATAAAAATGTATCATAAATAAAAATATAACTCTAATTGGAATTAATAACTGCTTTTATTTCAGCTTCTAAATATCAACGGAAAATTATCATTCGTATTCTTAATTTAATTTGGAAATCATGCTTTCTATAATAAAATCATCCTGTATATTCATACAAGACATTTGCTTTGTATTTCTTATACTCAATATGAAATAACGAAAACAAAATGTATTTACAGTTTTATGTAATCAATTTGAACCTTAATGCGCTATGAATAAAACAGAATCAACTGCAACATTCTCATTTTAAGTTAGTTTTCTATGTTGTACTTTATTACTTAGAAAATAGAAGTCGAAATTGCTTGACAAAGCATCGTTATTTCAAATTGTGTACATTATTTATGTTGAATATGTTGTACAGTGCGTGTATATTAAAAGGGCCGGTGTATTTTAAATGCAAATAGTTTAATAATACTTTGATTTCATGCAGCCGTACCCAAGATCAAGCGGATAGTGTAAGTATGGTAGGAATAGGATATTTAGTTGATCTTTCTATAACAAAAACCCTGTATTGAAAAATGCTTATTAAAAATACTTACAAGTATTTATAATTCGGATTCAAAGTAATATTATATGCTTCTTATGTATTCAAATAAGTGCTGTATATGCTTAAATCTCATGAATACCATTAATTTAACATGATGTTAAAATTGACAAAAAGTAGGAATGTAATATTTTTTCAAATAATTTTATTATTCAAATCTATATTACGACCATGCCCACTCAGTCAACAGGGAAACGATTAACAGGAAGAAATTTTAGTGTGTATCGCTATACCGCGCGAAAAACATAATTTTTAATGAATCTATCATTTTATGGTTGTGGTGTAAATAAGATTTTATTATAAACCGAGGTGCTATATCATTTCATTTAAATTGGCCATGGGATTGTTGGAAAAATGCTTAAAACGACAAGAATAATTACTATTAATACAATTATAAGATTACAAGGGAATTTAAACAATTAAGGGTAATACTACTGTATTACCCTTAATTCTAATTGTAATCGCAGATATGATGTATAAGTCAATTTAAATATGGCAAATATGCAAGATAAAGTCACTGGTACAAACTGCACCAAGCGTGAAATGTGACATTTAAATTCAATTTAAAGTAATTAACGTATTTTTATAGTGAAGGAAACCAACCAATGTAATGTAATAAGTATTAATAAAAACCAGCTAATGTTATCTTCGTACACTAGGTGGAGCTTTGCGTGGAAACTCTAGGCGAGGTGATGTCTCTCCTCGCGCGGGATGACGTCGGCCCCGTGGACGCCGACCGCGGGGAACTTGCCAGACGGTTGCTCCCGACTGTACTGAAGACTGCCGCCACTATGCTGAGGGATCGCAAGAGTGAGAAACAGAGTAATAGCGCTGAGGATGCTTTGTTGGTGAGTTGGTACTTGACTATATTTTTCGTTGTCAGAAAAATAACGCTGTCCTTAGTCCTTAGTCCTTATAAACTTAATGAACTATCTTCTGAAATTAAAGAGTACTTTTTTAAAAAATACAACCAAGATTTGAGTATTTTGTAAAAATATAACGATACATCCATTCGTTCATCAACAGCCGTGAACAGCCTATATCTCACACAGAGTAGGTTTGAGCATTAATCACCTCGCTTGCTCAATGTGGGTTGGCGATTCCAAACTTATAATTAGAAATTATAAGTCTAGGTGTCAACACGATGTTATCTTTCACCGTTAGTGAGTGGTGTCTAAATAATCTTAGAAACTACATATAACTCGGTTGCTGTTGGTGGGTTTCGAGCCTGCACTTGCATGAGAGTGAGAACCGGGCGCCTTAAACCTTCAAGCCACCACGACATTCCTCCGGGTCAACTTGTCATAAAATAATGATATGACTTTGCTATCCACATGACAATTACGTTAGTTTTACATTTATAGTAATTATAAAAATCAAACTAGAAGAACCACGTGCTTGTCTTAATACTTTAACTGCCAACTTTAAAACGATGAAAGTCAAACCTCCACTAGCGTCAGGCACCGGTGACTGACATGGCAGTCTAAGGGTTAAACACACAGTTAACAAAAACTCTTTATTTCAGAGACGAATCCTATCAGTCCTACTGGATATGGTACGACAAATGTCAGAGAACCAGTATTCGATGGTCGTAAGAGCGTTAGAAGCGGAGAACGCCGGCGGGTCAGGATCGCTGGTCACTGATGCTCTGTCGTTGTTCCTGGCGATATTGCAAAGGCCTGTGTTTAGGCCTCATTGGGCTGATATGCTGCATTTACAGCATTATGTTATGCTGCATGCGCTGAGGTAAGAAGTTCTTTAATGGTTTGACAATGAGGTTTTGTTATTGTACGGGCTGTAGGCTCTCGTACATATGATGTTGTGTGTAGTTGGTGTATGGTGTCGGTATGATCCCGATGTGGGTTCAGGGATTAGTGGAAATATAAACACCACCGACACAATTGAGTGATTTAATAACACTAAAAATTATACAAATTATCTTAGATATAAAGGTCTTCACAGTATAGACGAAGTGTGTCACAATGTCACAGTGTCAGCAATACCTACGGCCTTGCACAATTAGTTGCGAATGTTACAATTATTAAATATTTCTTAAAGAATGTACGATGACTCGTACATATTTCCCACTAAACAGAAAAAAGGGAATTAAAATGTAATTAGTTAAGCTGAAAGTATAACAAATTAAATTAAGTTAAAAGTCATAGAAAAGTTAACTAAGTTATACAATTCAAAGTTATTGATTTGTCACGTTACTAGTGCTGGAGCTAAGGTTAAATTGGATGGTTCTTGGAAGTCCAGGTGATGTCCCGATGTCCACGTTCGATTGAGTGCGTCGTACTAAGTTAGTCCTCTTTGTTTGTTTCGAATCATCCTCTCGTTTGGGTTCTACTTTAATCTCAATAGATGATGTTTCATCCTGAGCAGTAGTCGATCCAGATTTACCCTCGTTATACTTCTTTGTAAACCATCGAACTCTTGCGTAGCACACCAAAATTGCCAGCAATAGCGAAGTCACGATAAATAGTATAGTGTAGATCACTGTATAATGTACGTGATCATGAGTGGAAGTCTCTAGTTCAACTTGTTTTGCAGCGTCAATTTTTTGTTGAATCTTTGCGAAGGTCTTGTTGTGGTATTCAGCGACAAAATTATCCGGAAGTGGAACTCTCATAAGTTCGTTCAATGTTGATGAGTCCGGCAAATCTATGGTGTCATCTGGTTTCATATAAATCTTATTTGTATATTCATGTTCAGCATATATCAAAAAGGCTTCGCCTTTAATAACACATCCCTTTTCAAGGCTTATCAGGCCATTATGACGCAATGTTTTCATCACGATTTCATTCGGACATATGATTCGAATCGAGCAAACGGTGCAACAAGAGTAGAGCCAAGTATTATGTGTATGTAATTTGACCCACCTGTCGCTACATTGTTTTATTTCTGGTCGACAGTACGGTTTATTTTCATTAGTTGTAAATAATTGCATGTTACACAATGTTTCTCCGACTTGCATAGTAAATACAGGATTACTCAATGGACAAAACATTTGTTGATTTGTGTGAGGTCTGCAAGCATGTATGTCATTTTCTGTCATCGGTATCACAGTGTCCTTCTTAACATTGATGGCTAAATATTTTGTCTCTGTCTTAGTGTATATGTATGTCTGATTCCCTTCTCGTTGAGGAAGTTCAATGACTTTACTGAGTTCGAATAAGTCTCTGTTGATAAGCGGTATGGTGATCTCCATAATCAAATATCTTCTTGTCACCGTTACTCGTACATGTAGAAGTCCATAAAGGTCACGAGCGTTATCAGCAGGTATGATTACATCACCTTGTAATTGTCCAGATATGGCATTCAATTGTTGTTGTATTTGCTGAGGGGAAAGTAAGTGTATATTCAACCTCCCATGGTATATATCTGTCACAATATCGAGTAGTGTTTCTTGAGTTCTGCGTAGGTTGGAAATAATCACGTCTGCGGAAATCCAAGATGCCATAATTTTGTTGTTTTGACTTGCGATTTGGTTAAGCTCTGTTGACAGGACTTTCAGGTGGTTATAAATGTTGTCAAATTGTTTGTTCATTACAGCCTCATTTCTTTTTAAGATGTTATTTTCCGCTTCAAGGATTGAGGTCTGGTTTTTGTACAAAGAAAGCAGATGATCTTCTCTATGTGTTAGCTTCTCGATGTCCTTTTCGTATTGTTGAGCGAATTTATCGTCTAGAACCCCGAATAACGAATTAGCAATGTTGCCAATCGCGTTAATCAATCCTCTTTTTCTCCGCTGTGTTAGATGATGGTTATTCATCAACAAGTCATTATAGTGATTTATCTCGTTCAGCTCGTGTTCAAACTGAGTCACTACAGATAAACAGAAATTATCATTTTGGCAAGCTTTACTTATAGCGTGTATGTATTTCTCTACGGCTTGCATGTTATGCCAATAGGTAGTCATGTTGTAGTAGACGATCATTTTCCAATGGTCTTGTATGATTCGAATATTGGATAGTCTGTCAAAGTACAGTGTATTGTTATTGTCAATAGGTTTTATCTTTGTGACTGCTTCTATTGCAGGAGCCAGGAATGTCAGCAATAGCAGTACAGTTGCCGTCACTAAGTTTACTTTCGCTGTAGTTTTCCGTCGTTTTGGAGTGTCTTCGGGAGCGTCTTCTTTACTGGTATCAGGGTTGTCACTCTTCTTTTGTACAGGTAACGGAATCAACTTGATGATTGGTCGCTTAATTTCACCGCTCTTGGTCTTCAGTGTAACAACTCGTACGTGGCCATCCAGTCCAGCATGTACCTCTTTCACACGACCCAATGCCCATTTTGTTGGTGGCATATTATCTTCGCGTATCAAAACGACATCATCAATTTTCAAGTTTTCCTTCGGATAGTGCCACTTAGCTCTCGTTTGCAGATGCTGAAGGTAATCAGCCGACCATTTTCGCCAGAAATCACGATGCATTTTCTCTGTGAGTTGCCATCGAGTTCTAATGCACTTCGGATCTGGCTCCGTCATTGGAGGAGACAACAGAGGTCCTCCTGTAAGAAAATGTCCAGGCGTCAAGTATTGATCTTCTGCATCCTCTGACAGTGCATAAAGTGGTCGAGAATTCAGGCACGCTTCTATTTGAGCAAGGAGTGTAGTAAACTCTTCGAAAGTCAGTTTTTGTTCGCCTAGAACTCGCTTCAAGTGATGTTTAGTGCTTTTGACAGCAGCTTCCCAAATGCCTCCGGCGTTCGGCCATGCAGGCGCGTTAAAATGCCATGTAACACCCATTTCCGAAATAGAGGATAGACAGTACGGGTTTATCACCTCTAAAACTTCTTTGTATTCCTTCCGGAGGAGACGTGAGGCTCCTACGAAGTTAGTGCCATTATCGCTATACATGTGCTTAGGTGTTCCTCTTCTAGCGCACATTCGCTTAAAGGCTGCCAAAAATGCTGGTGTACTCAAGTCGGAGACAAGTTCGAGGTGAATTGCTTTTGTAGCAAAACATACAAACACGGCGATATATCCGCGGGTCGTTTTTATTCCACGTCCTTTGTTTGCCTTCAGCTCCACTTGTCCGGTGAAGTCCACACCAGTGTGAGTAAATGGCCTAGAAGGTGTCACTCGTGGCTCCGGTAATTCGGCCATCTTTTGATAGTGATTATGGCGATTGAAACGTACGCATCTCAAACATTTTCTTAGGTATTTCTTAACTGTACGAATACCCCCGAGCACCCAGTATCGTTGTCTTAGATACGCCAAGGTAAGACTCGGTCCACCGTGTAGGGTTTGGAGATGTGCTTGTCGTATCAGTAATCCCGTCAAGTGTGTGTCTTTTGGAATAATCATCGGATGTTTTGCATGTTCTTTCAGTTTTGAGTTTTGAAGTCTTCCACCCACTCTCAAAATATGCTTATCATCCAAGTAGGGATCGAGTGGCAGTAGATTACTCCTCGAAGACAATGTACTTCCTTGTCTTATTCGTAGAATTTCAGCTTGAAATTCCGTAGTCTGGACTGCTTTGATAATCAGTTCATATGCATTTTCAATGTCAATGGCAGTTAGGTATGTAGCACGATTAGGTGCATCGTAAGCAATTCGTACCGTGTTATGTTTTATGCCTGGTGACGACCGGTGTTTCGTCACGCGATGACGTAGTTTTGTTATGAAACGTAAGACGCGCGCTATGACTCGCACGACATAAGTTATTGAACTGTGTTTGTTCAATATGTCTTCAATAATCGAGTATGATCTTTGAGCTGTATATGTCTGTACGTTCCTTTTTACTTCCATTTGAGGGAGATCAAATTTACTGGCTTCACTAGGGATCTCATCTTTGATCCACGCAGGGCCTTCCCACCACAGTGTATGTTGTAACAACTGTAATGTTGTTAGACCTCTAGTTGCGCAATCAGCTGCGTTATCACTTGATCTTACATGCCGCCAGTATGATGATGGTGCAATGTCAAGGATTTCCTTTGTTCGATTCGCTACGAAAGTCTTCCAGCGAGAGGGATTTCCCTGCAGCCATCCTAGTACTACTAAGGAATCGGTCCAGCAGTATATTTGTATGCCAGTCTGTGTTAAAGCCTTCATCACCTTTTCGAGCAGTTTAGACAGTAGCAAAGCACCACACAGCTCTAATCGTGGCAACGTCATTGTATTTTTGCGGGGTGC